GCAAGAAATTGGTATGAATACCACCCAGACCCGGTTACGGAGGTAGGACCTGTAACAATTTTATGGGACTTCACAATACACACAGACAAAATAATCCAAGCTAATCACCAAGACATAGTGATTAGAGACCCAAAAGGCAAAATATACCTTTTATATAGACATGGCAGTCCCCTCAGAGTGTAATGTATCTTTGAAGATCTTCAAAAAAACTATCAAAATACAAGGACCTTGAAATGGAAATCTCAAAAATGTAGCATATATGGGCATCAGTAATTCCAGTTGTAGTTGGGGCACTCGGATTGATTGGAATAGACTTATTGAAGGAACTCCTGGTAGTCCACGAAATACAAATAATTATACTCACAAGTACAACCCACACCTTACAAAGGGCTTTATCTATGTAAAATGTGTGATTTTCTTTTCAAAATTGCTCAGTGAAAAATGTCATGGTCACATTTCTGACCTTATGTCTCTGGTTGGGACCCGGAAAGAAATGAATATACATCAGAAAGCAAAGGAAATAAAACAATAATAATAATATTTATATTCGGACTATTATCCTCATCTTTGTTGTTGTTATTATAACGCTTTGATCGTTGTGCTCCTCGGCCTTCCTAGACATGTGCAGTGGAACTAGAATAGTCTATGCCCGTAGATTAAATAAAGGGTTCTGTTCGATGTAGATCGATATAAACCTGAGAAATATCAGAGCGTTCTACGGCCGAAACTTTGGAATAACAACAACAAAGATGAGGAAAATATTCCGAATATAAATCTTGTAATTTATAATAAATATAAATCTCCAAAAGTAGAAGGACATTATGGCTCTCCACAGCTTCACATCCTTCGGGGTACTTACTATATCCCCCTCTATTCTGCTATTCATTCAAACACACATGACAGGCAGATTCCTTGCAGATTTGCTCTAACCTCTTGACTTTAATGTCATTTGAGGGTTCAGTCTTTTAGATTTACATTTCTCATTCTATATCAAAGATGTAGCATTCTCAGAATTCTTCAGTAGAACCACATCTCTGTTACCTCAAGTCTTCTCTTCAGCTGAGAGGAGATTGTCCAGCATTCACTGCCATATAGGAGGATTGATATTACATAGAAGTTCATCACTCTTTTCTTTATTTCTAACGAAATCTTCCTGTTTCTTAATACTTTGTTTAGCTTTTGGAAGACATGAGGAGATTGTCCAGCATTCACTGCCATATAGGAGGATTGATATTACATAGAAGTTCATCACTCTTTTCTTTGTTTCTAACGAAATCTTCCTGTTTCTTCATACTTTGTTTAGCTTTTGGAAGACATGAGGAGATTGTCCAGCATTCACTGCCATATAGGAGGATTGATATTACATAGAAGTTCATCACTCTTTTCTTTCTTTCTAACGAAATCTTCCTGTTTCTTAATACTTTGTTTAGCTTTTGGAAGACATGAGGAGATTGTCCAGCATTCACTGCCATATAGGAGGATTGATATTACATAGAAGTTCGTCACTCTTTTCTTTCTTTCTAACGAAATCTTCCTGTTTCTTAATAATTTGTTTTGCTTTTGGAAGACATGTGGAGATTGTCCAGCATTCACTGCCATATAGGAGGATTGATATAACATAGAAGTTCATCACTCTTTTATTTCTTTCTAACGAAATCTTCCTGTTTCTTAATATTTTGTTTAGCTTTTGGAAGACAAGAGGATATTGTCCAGCATTCACTGCCATATAGGAGGATTGATATTACATAGAAGTTCATCACTCTTTTCTTTGTTTCTAACGAAATCTTCCTGTTTCTTAATACTTTGTTTTGCTTTTGGAAGACATGTGGAGATTGTCCAGCATTCACTGCCATATAGGAGGATTGATATTACATAGAAGTTCATCACTCTTTTCTTTCTTTCTAACGAAATCTTCCTGTTTCTTAATATTTTGTTTAGCTTTTGGAAGACAAGAGGATATTGTCCAGCATTCACTGCCATATAGGAGGATTGATATAACATAGAAGTTCATCACTCTTTTCTTTGTTTCTAACGAATTCTTCCTGTTTCTTAATACTTTGTTTAGCTTTTGGAAGACATGAGGAGATTGTCCAGCATTCACTGTCATATAGGAGGATTGATATTACATAGAAGTTTATCACTCTTTTCTTTGTTTCTAACGAAATCTTCCTGTTTCTTAATACTTTGTTTAGCTTTTGGAAGACATGAGGATATTGTCCAGTATTTACTGTCATATACAAGGATCTTTTAACGTTAAGGTCGAAAGAAGAAGTTCGTATTTTGAGCTTTTTCTCTTGCTAATATCCATACATTCTTTCGTCGTATAGTTAGGGATTAATCTTTTCTTATCAATTTCATTAACTACCCTGTCTAAGAGCTTCTACGGTTTTCTTTCTGTGTCTGCCATCAGCACAGTGTCATCTGCTTAACATGTTTTGTTAAGACAGTGTCCACTGATATTAAAACACTGGAAAGGCTTTCATTCCTCTTCGGATTGCTT